CATGGAAAAAAAATCTTTTGGTACTTAAAAAGATCTAAACTTAAGCCAGGATTGGGTATGACCAAGTGAGCAGCACATAAGCCCCATCGGACCAGTCAGGGCTCTGCATCTGTGTCCCTGGTGCCAGGAATAACCACTGTGTATCTATAGTATAACAGAAACAAAGTCCCAACTGAAAGCCCAAGAGCAGTAGATTTGCTAAATCATAGCATGTGCTTGTTCCTCTTCTGATTTTTTTTTTTAATAAAGCAGAAAAAAAACTCAAACTGAAGAGCTCCACTATTCAGAGTAGCCTGGCTAGGGTAAACGCGGGGTTGAAAACATTTTTCTAAGAGGTGCAAGTTCAATGAAAGATACAAAAGATAAAATGAGAGAAAACAAACTCTGCATCTGCTATGAATGAAGAGGAAGGAAAAAATAGATACTATCTGAGCATGTAATTAAACCCCAAATGAAAGGATATTGTTTTTCCTCATCATCAATGTTGTGTTAAGATGCATTTCAGGGGCATAAAACCACAACGGGAAAGGCCGTGAAATGTGAGGCCTCCCTGGAAACGAATTCCTGTTGTTTGATCAAAGCAAGATAAGTGCTGAAGCGTGAGTCTGGTCCAACTCATGAAACAACTCTGCTTCCCACATTAGACCACAAGCTTGCAACTTTTCTCCACAGGTTTAACAAAGCCTATGATCAGTGAAAATCCCTTATTTAAAAAACTGCTAAACATTACTATATTCATGAAATAGCCACAAAAGTTGAGATGTTTTTGACCGAAACTTTACGTTATTGCTCCTTCCCTTGGAGCACGCTGCCCATTTACATTGCTACCACACCAAGCTAGCATTCTGCACCATTATTGCTTGTGTTGGTGAAAACCAATTGGACAAAGCTGTCCTAACACATTTTTATCTGCAGTGAATCAGAGGGAATACTACCAATCATTTACCAAGCCCAGCAGCACGTACTTTACTTCATCTGCAAGCAGCACTTGCAAAGCAATCACATACCTCCATTAGTTGCATAGTGTTCACCCATGTGAAATTATTCATTCTCCTCAAACACAAATAATGTGCTTGTAAATTTGGGAGTTGGTCAAAAGCCCAGTGAGCAGAAGGTGGGGGAAAGAGGCAAGCTCTCTCCCCAGTGTGTTTTCTGTGATGTCTGGGTTAGGTCCTCCAAGGTCACATCCCAGAATATCATTATCTAACCATTTACCTGCCTGTTCAGTACCTAAGCCAAAATAGGTCAAAGCAGCAGGAGGAGGATTGGCAGAAACCTTGTTAATTCTTTAGTAGGTCGCGGAAGGAATTTCTTTGGGAGAGAAAAGGCTTCTGTAGGACTGGTCATAAGGTTTCTGGCAATACATTTTCATCATAAATTACCACTTTCTTGAAATGGAAACATTTCAAACTCAATGAATTTTTTGACAGACTAGATTTTTGTTCCTTTGCTGGCTAATTTCAGAGGGACTCACAGAAGCAGAGATGGCCCAAGTCACAAGCCTGACCTTTCAACTGGAGAAGGAACACTTCTCAAAAATTCCATTTTACTATAAGCTTTTGAAAGCTTTGGCTTCAATGCAAAACAACCTGCAAAACTTGAAAGTCTGCAAAATTCACCTGTTGCTTTTTTGACCTCTCTGACTTTTGTTCAACATAACAATGCCAACATAAATTATTTGCAGCAATACATACAAGAACCCCAATCAGTCTGCAAGGGGAGAAGGTCAATTTGAATCTGTAACAAAAGGTATCTGTTAAGGATCCTCCAAACCAATACGATAGGAAGTTGCATATTCCAAACAGCCAAACACTGAAGCAGAAGCAGTCCAATGGGTGAGTAATCCTATTTCTAATGACAGATGAATGGTACGCATACGTCACATAAATATATGGGACTCAGGCTTCCTCTTGGAGCCTTCTCAGGAGCAGTGACATTTATTATGGCATTTTCTATCCAAGGAGGCTCACAGTTTTGTCTTTACAAACCGACTTACATAACACGCGGACAGCTCGCTTTGCTCACGCTGGAACACAGCAGCTACACGACAGGCCACAACATCATTTTTCTTCTTGCACAACTTGTTTTCTGCAAAGCTGTTCGCCTCATTGTGGGACACAGGCTGTCATTATATTTACCCAGTCATGCAGGATTTCCTCTCCAGTTGCATCTCCTAAGGAAGCTACCACCCATTCTCCTCTGGTCTTTTAGCTGGTTTGTTTGTTATAGCTGAAAGAAAGTCTCTTTTTTCCCCCCAAACACCTTTACTATTACTTAAACACCTCCCTTATGCTTTTCACTCGGTTACCATTAGAGTCTAAACAAGGCTTGATACCTGCTATTGCCTTTGCAGATAGATGCCCAAATGTCCATCAGATGGACAGGTAACAGACCAGAACCCGAAGCTGATTAGTATCACAGATAAGATCGGTGTTCCTGTCTACTCTGCTACTCACAGTTCTTGGTCTTTCTTCAAAGACCGCAGGGCTTTTCTCCCACAGAAATAGCAAAAGTGCAGATACGCACATTTGTAAAGTTAGACACGTCTAACCTTCCACAAAACACAGACCTCAGATTTAGCACATCATGAGGAAACAGATGCATTTCAGGTTCTCAACAAGTAGCTAGGGGGAGGCTCAATAAAAATGTGTTATTTACTGCATAATCCTAATGGAAAAGACATTTGCTGCACTGGGAAAAAAAAAAAGACTAAAACATTCAAGTCAAGCATGGCACGTAATAAAGGTATTTTTAATACTAAAAAACATATTTGAAAATAATAGCTAACAGAACACTCTTAATTGCATTTTGCTTTTCAGTACTGTTTTGCTGGCAAGCAAAACCTATTGCTTACCAGTCCCAAAGGCTATGGCTATAAAAATAAATCCCATTGCAAAATATTTTATTCCCATATCTCTCACCGTTTCAGATTGTGCCATTAGAGTTACCCATATGCAACACATAACAGACTTTTTTTTATGCTAAGATACAAGTCTCCTCTTCCTTAAATCACTTTTTTTTTTTTTTAAATGGGGCATTATTGCACAAGTAGGACCAGACTTTGCCCTCTCTGATGACAGCCACAAGGTTTAACAATGAAGATTCTTTGACGGTGAGGCCATGAGGTCAGCCTGCGCACTCTGTGGTGCCAAACCCTCACGTGATTACTAAGAAAGTTGGATTTGAGAAGAGTTATGACTGGAAAGATGAACTGTCTGTTCATCTGCCCCTGCCTTCACTAAGTCCCCAGGACACTCCACGCGTCTCCTCTGCCCCGCTCCTAAGCTGCTGGCTGCCCTTTGATGCTAACGGCACTCATACGCCTATTAATAAATCCAGGCAAGGCACTGCTAAGACTAGCAACATTCCTGTATTTTTATAGGCAGAAAGATCATTCTGCTTTCTTTAGAGATACCCGATCTCATAGGTTTCTTAATAACTGAAGCAGACACGCTCCTTTACCTAAAAAGAACCCATTCATTATAGACTTGAATGATTTGACGACATCCTGTTTATCTCATAGCGAACTTCAAAATGTCGCTGAATAAAGAAAGATTGAGAGCTTTTGCTCAACATTTTGCTACAGGAATGTTGTATTGTATTTGAATAACGAAGCTGCTTTGACAGTTCAGGATTTTAAATTGCCACGATAACATAAATAACAGTTGTAAAAGTAAATAGTCTAATGTTCCAGTCACTCAACATAGCTCTTACTGCTGAGATTACGAGGCACTGACTGACAACAGGTTTTTGAGCCCAACCCTTACTTTTTATTGAGTATTCCTCACCTGCAGGACCAAATCCCTCATATGTTTTCCTAGTCTGCACAGACAGGCCTCCAATTCTACTTTTAATACACTCTGCTCACCACTAACCTCTAGCCAAAGGTCAAAAATCCAGACTAATCACAGTGGAAGCTTGGACTCCACAACCTGCGACCTAATCCAGGTCCCAAGCAATGCAGTGAAACATTCCTGTTCACTTCAGTAGTGTCTGGAGAAGTCCGTAACTTCTCAGATTTGACTTTGGTTCAGTTTCATCTTCAACTAAAACTGCGGTACACTATAGACTTACCTAAAACCTGTGTATATCTGCTGACTTTTTTTTTTCTTCCCTAAAAGAGAGCAGGTTCTTCTCCACTCTTACCTGACCTGAAAGCAAAGTGTTTCACAAAAAGGATCGGTATCATATAGCTAAACCGCTGACACACAATTAAATAACTGGCATCAGCATTTACATTTCTAAAAATGTGCTTAACAAGCTGGAAAAAAAAAGGAAACAGAAGTGATGTGTGAAGTTCACCTTTAGCCCCATCTATTCAGAAATTGAAAAAAACTACATCCTGACAAAGTATAGGCATTTTCCTAGGATCATTAGACAAAAGGGACAAAACATATCTTGTCTACTTAATGAGGTTTATTATCCCAGAAGAAAGTAAAATGACACACACATATATACACACATCCAAGTTATAAACAGAAAGAACTGGCAAAGGAAAGCATTTTTTCCCCAGAGAGTTAGCAAAATCACACAATTCAGAAAAAAAATCAAAAATAAAATAAAACCTTACCATATTCTGAGTTGTTGCTTACTTTATTTTTGTGTGTGTCTTTTTTTCTGAATGAAAGGGCTTTGCCACATTCAATTTTGCTCCTACCATGCAATGGTGTTTTATTGTCTCTGAAAATTGGCACAGACTAGCAGATCGAGACCTGACTTGAGCATATTTTTTTACTTTCCCTGCCCCCATCCTCTATGCTTGCTTTCTGCTCCAGTTTTGTCTTGGTATCTTATTTCGTGTGTGCATTGAGCCTACCACCAAGGATCTTCTGATTTTATGTGCATTCTCTACACATTATTTCACTAAAGATGATATAATCAACATCATCATTCTAGTCTGAAACAAGACATAAGAGGTCTTTATTTGGATTTTGGATTTTCAAAGCTTCTTTCTTAAAATCAAAGGCGGCAAGAAGAAAAAAAAAAAACCATCCACTCACCTAGACAGCAGTAATTTACCCTGAAGTTTCAAATCAGCAGCACAGTCATCAGATTGACAGTTCCTCTCAAAAACAGTCTGTGAAAAAGAGAGAAAAGTACTGTTACAGCATGCAAAGGGTAAGATCAAAGTTTTCTTAAAATAGCAACATCTTTGGATGATATGAAAGAACACAAAGTTGTGATATGTAAATGTATGGTAAAAATGTTAGGGAAACTCAAAGGCAGCCAAATCACATCTTTATCAAAATCTCTTTGTTCTGTCATAATTGAACATGAAGGGTCACCAAAATCAGACTCTCTTGGAGATTTTTTTTTCGATTCCTGCTTCCCATCTGACAAGAATTACTTCTCACACAGTATTTCTGGCACTCTTATATCTGATCCCAACATATGTATGGAAATGAAACAGAAAATAAGAAACTGCTTAAGAAACTATTTTCAACAAGGCCAAGTGCAAGGTCCTGCACCTGGGGAGGAATAACCCCAGACACCAGTACAGGCTGGGGACCGAGCTTGTGGAGAGCAGCTCTGCGGAGAAAGACCTGGGTGTCATGGTGGACGACAAGTTGACCATGAGGCAGCAGTGTGCCCTCGTGGCCAAGAAGGCCAATGGGATCCTGGGCTGCATTAAGAAGAGCATCTCTAGCAGGTCGAGGGAGGTGATCCTGCCCCTCTACTCAGCCCTGGTGAGGCCGCATCTGGAGTATTGTGTCCAGTTCTGGGCTCCACAGTACAAGAGGGATGTGGAGCTGCTGGAGAGAGTCCAGCGCAGGGCTACAAGGATGATCAGGGGCCTGGAACATCTGCCCTATGAGGAGAGGCTGAGGGGGCTGGGCCTGTTCAGCCTGGAGAAGAGAAGGCTGAGAGGGGATCTAATCAGTGTATATAAATACCTCAAGGGAGGGAGTGCAGAGGACGGGGATGGTCTCTTTTCAGTGGTGGCCACTGATAGGACTAGAGGAAATGGCCGGAAACTGAAACATCAAAAATTCCATAGGAACTTAAGGAAAAATTTCTTAACAGTGAGGGTGACAGAGCACTGGAACAGGCTGCCCAGAGAGGTTGTGGAGTCTCCTTCTCTGGAGATCTTCAAAACCCGCTTGGATGCAGTCCTGCGCCACGTGCTTTAGGTGTCCCTGCGTATGCAGGGGGGTTGGACTAGATGATCTCTAGAGGTTCCTTCCAACCCTAAGCATTCTATGATTCTATGATTCTATGATTCTATGATTCAGTTCTAACAACTGAAATAGAAGAACTCGTGAACCAAGCAGATTCACTGACCTAGAATAAAGATTTAAATTATTTGTTTAAATTGTGTTTAAATTGTTTATGTGGTAGGAAACATTTCAGATTCAATTTCATAGAAAATTACGAACAACTGTGACATACCAATGATAACCTAAACAATGCAACTACTGCCCATCTCATGAATTCTAGAAAAGACCACCATTTCCAAAACTAAATGGATTGATAAAACTAGAATTTGTAAAATGCAGATATATCATGAGGCATACATGCAGCATTTAAGCAGCAAAGGGATGTTGACAGAAAGGGAATATGTGTGACACCCACACAAGCCTAAGCAAATCTCTACGACTACCCGCAATTGAGATAAGATGGCAGGAACATATTTGTAGAATCCAGGAAACCCAAATTCTGTCAAGAACATGGTTAGTTTTCCCCCGCTTTTGAGAACAGGGGCCAATAGCCTTCTATACAGCTGAAGACTTTTTAGGCTGCAGAGTTCATTCTCTCAGATGTATAATGCTTTTCAGTTTACAAAATATTCAAGGGAAAAATACCCTAAATGAGGATAACGAAAAGTGCTCACCTAGGAAACCTGACACTACCTGAGTCTCCTCCTTTAACACGAATATTCCTTTCTACAAAAGGATATTTCCATGACTCCTTTATCCAAATCAAATAAATTTCAAGTGTAAATGGGAAGAGATAGCAAACCCCTATAGGTTGCAGACAACAATCGCAGTGTTGCAGAGCCTCGGGGGAAAGACAACATGCAGAGTTAGTCTTGTGTTTGAAAAGCTCTGCCCAACTGTATCAGCACTGAAAAAAGACTTTGAGTCTAGACAGAGATTTCTAGTCTTTCACTCACTAAGGAGATCCTTCCCAAAGGAGATAGACAGCTTTACATTTTCTGTATTGTCTAAAATCTTGAAACACACATAGACCTTTATGCAGCTGCTTAGCATTGGACAAGCAGATTTCAAGCTATGAGGTAAGTTGCAATAATTTCCAACAAGATGAAAGACTCAAGAGTGTCGAAGGGTGGGCACTTCACCTAAGGCTAGCTACTCCGACGACTCATTGTCCTTTCCTACCTTTTGTTTTCTCAGAATTTCAAAAGTGGAAATTGTTGAGAATTTAAACTAAGGGCTGAACTTAAACTTTCTCCTTAATAAAGAAAGCTACACCAAAAGGTGGTAATCATGAGACAACCCAGTCCCAAGACAGGAGCTGGCATGGGAATCACTCTCAAAATGTGGAACATTTCAGAGAGATGGTCGGAAAGTCCTCAGAACTAATCCTCCAAAGCTAGAGTAGCTATATATAGGAAAGACTGTTTGACCTTCACAGGAGAAAGAAAAATAAACTGTAGACGTATCCTTGCCTGACAATTTCCCTGTTTGAATTGCAGAAATCTTGGCAAAGTGAACAGATTGATCAAAGATCTGACCTACACTTTTAAAAGATTCAAGTACTCTAAATACATTCAAGGAACTATCTAATAATTCTGGAATTTTGTTTCTATAGATATAGTTCATCAGAAATGATCAAATACTTTGGTTCCTAAAACTACTGAGCACATATCTCTTCCACTACATCATGCACTACACCATGAACTGCTTTGAAATACATTAGGAATTTTTTGTTGTGCTAGAGCAACTCAAGTTCCCATGCAACACTGGGCTAAAGGCTCTTGAACTCGTTCGGGTTTGGGGGAGAAAGGATTTCCAGTCCCACCAGAACTTCCTAGCACTCAGGACGCCTTCGAGACTGCAGGAACTGGTTCAGCTGCCAACTCCACTGCAGGCTGATGGTATCTCTGGATTATTTTGTTATTTCCCACCATTTCCCTGGACTGAACAGACGATGGTATGACTGCACCCCACTTTGCTTGCTAGAGCCTTAACCATGTCACTTCATGGAGCCAAATCAATCTGCTTTCTTGACTTTCTCTTGCATTTTGCTGGCCCCTCCCTGCTCCACCCCACAAAGATGGGGCTTCATCTGCCTTTCTAGTTGACCAATTCCTGTGTGTTCAAATCCCTTCTAAGAAATCAGGGGGTAAGCACGCTGTCATCGTAACATTTGTGAATATCATCTAGGTATTTTCCTACTGTACCTTTGCTTGGTCTGTTTGGGCTGGGATCTCTCTGGGCCAGAAACCACCAGCTGAACATTTGCATGTTGTTTAGAGCACTGCAGGAGAAATACAACTGCATTCTTATATTGAGGCCACAGTGCTTCTGTCTGGCACTTCTGTGAGATAAACTTGATAGTGAGCTTGTATGCTCACTAGTGCGAAGATGATAATCCTGATGCTTTTAGCATCATTATGTATTGTGTATTATATTCACAATACAAGCAGAGAACCAACGCCAGAATGTGCACCATGAGCTCAGCAGATATGGCACCACCAGATCTACAGCAAAACAGAGTAAATCCAGAATTTTTAGGATCTGTGATTTTTCTCTGCATTCACTTTTGTTGCATAGGACCTGGCAGCTCCTGAGAACTGCCCTGTAGAACTTCCTACCAGCTCAACAGATATCCTGGACAAACACGCAGTTTCCTCAAACTCTTCCTGACAGCTCTTCTGGGCAGAAACCATGGCAGATGCATCCTTAAGGGTCAGGAGATATGGATGCATATTATGTTGCCAAAGCCCTTTAGAGGGCAATTCAGAGAGCCTAACTGAAAAGACACTAATTATAAAGGGTGAATAAGGTGTATCTGTACACCTCAGACACCAAGAAGACACCTAGAACTAACTGAGGAGGAGGATCCACCTAGACAGGCGCTCATCTCAGGGCCTCGTAGCAAGTACCCTTGTGTTCAGCCCATCTCTTAAAGGACAACAAAAAGTTGCATTTTGTGGTACAAGCCATGTGTATATTCATAATCATCCGCCTCACGAAGGAGGCAGTGGTTGAATCCATAGTTCCCATATCCTAAAGCCTCCTAAACACTGAGCATCTGTGTAAAGAGATGCTTCCATTTCTTTCTGCTGATACTGGACTACTACTATGAGGCTAGAAGGAAAACACACATCAGAGACCAATTTCAGCCTAATGGCTTCAGCTGGCTACTCAGAGGAACCAATGTGGGGGTTCAAACCTGACTCCCTAGTTTACTTCATTTCCTTCCAATGACTATCTAAAATTAAAAACATTATGTGTCTGGGAGCAGGGAAGACAAATGGAAACAGAGAAACTGAAAAACGCTGTGTTTATGGCAACCCTGTGCACAGAAAATACTGGAAACCATCCATTAAACAAACACAAAAAAAAGAAAAAAAAAAGTATTTCAAGATATTTAACCACCCCAAATTCAGGGAATCACACAGAAAATTCAGGTCTTAGCCAAAGCATGCAATTAAGACCTTGCAACGTTTCCACTATTGTGTTTCAGCAAGAATTGCTTCCATCCTTTCACATGAAAAGGAAGTGACCAGACTAGATTCACCCTACATCAGACCTGAAGCAGCACATCAATCCACAGACAGTTAAGAGTGCATCTCAAAAGAAAAAAGGAGCAGGGCTGGCTCTCATTAATTGCCCATCCATTCCTCAAGCCTTCAAAAGTCTGCCCTACACTTCAGTGGAATAAATCAGTTAATTCAATATAATCTGGATTAAGAGTATAGTATTCCAAGTTCTATTTCATGTAAATTGTCACTATACTCTATGGCGTGTGTAAGAGTGATTTTGCAATTAAACCATGGGAAAAAAAGCAGATTTAAAAGATGTAAAAAAGGAGTTTATTAGTTGAATCATTCTTTAGTGTTTATATCTTGATGCTGTGGCTATTCCCACATTATCTGGTGAAGTTAGG